AGGTCAGGGCAGGCCAGGGCAGCCTGTCTCCTTTGGTTTTCGTCCCCAGATCACTTTCCCAGGAATATTCCCCAGCCATGGGGGGCACAGGTCTCTCTGTCACGATGCTGAACTGCTCTAATCCTGAGTGGAGAGGGCCCTTTACCTCGTTCCTCAACACAATCCTCCCACACATCACTGGTGACAGCACCTGGGCCTGCCTTCTCCCCACTTGGCCCATACTGTGGATGGGATTTTAGCCACCTGAATACACATGCCCATTTTGGGACCCAGTTTATTCTGCCTGGCTTCCAGCTGCTGCTCCAGAGGAGCACCGGGTGCTCCCTCATATTCCCCAGCACTATGCAGGTGCCTTGCATGCCCTAAGAAATCTAGAGTAGCGCTGGATTCACTCCTTATGTATCCCGTCTAAAAGCAACACCATGCTAAAACGTGTCCCCCTGGTCCACAGACATCTCCTCCCGAATCTTAGCCCCCATTGCACCCCATGTTTCACGGCATAACAGTACCTGAGCAGATCACACCAGCATCTTCTCCATGGTTACAGTTGTTCTCTCCCCAAGACCGTGCCGGGCAATCAGCGAGGCCCGTTTCAGCCCCTGCACAGTTCACATCATCGAGCCAAATTTGCCCGGTTCCTCGTCCAAACCCAGCAGAGCCAGGGGCTGAGAGTGCTGTCCCACAGCCCAGCTGCCTGCACACCACTTGAGCATCTGTCATATCCCAGCTGTCGTCACAGACGGTTCCCCACTGCTGCTCATGAAACACCTCGAGTCTCCCAGAGCAACTGCTTGAACCGTTCACCAGCCTGACTGGAAGCAGCTTTGCAAATCCTGTGTTGAGAAATAAAGAAGTTCTCTGTTGTATTTTGGTCTCTGCTGGCAGGGTAGAGCGCTGTGCTGCTCAGCCCTGGATTGCACCAGCCTGGCATAGACAGACATTGTTCATTTTTTCATATCAGCTCAGCAAATCCTTGCAGCAATTTCCGAGCGGCGGTCTCCAGTGGACCTTTCTTGTTGACTAGCCCCCGTTAAAATCAACCATCTCTGTTTGAACCATTAACTCCTCAGAAGACGACAGTTTTGCCTGCAGCCTGTTATTGTGGTGGACCAGACTAGGGCGAGTAGCACTGGGCTAGCTAGCTGAGCTGCGAAGGGACCCATGGACTAACACGGGTCCGGGAGCATCAGGTCGCCTTATGGTCTAGGCTGTGATAAGGACTCCTAGCATCCAGAATCAGAATTTTGGTAAAGCAGAAATAGTTGGTTGAGGACTGCTAGTGTCACATGCTGAAGTGTTCTAGCTCTGGTGTTGGTGAACATCAGGTATCTGGTTCTAGGATCTATGAGAAAGGCCAGACGAATCTCAATGGAGGTGCCTATTTTCTTCACGGATGTGAAGCCAGCCCACACTGTTAGATGGAACATCTGCATTTTTCACATCTAAGGTCTGAGATACAAATCTCTCCTCCACAGACTGCGCAGCTGCTGATGGGAACTGCTCAGGACTGGCTGGGCAGAGCGATGGACTGGAGGACCTACAGGCATCCCTGACAGATGTAATTTCCTGAATCTGTGTGAAGGAAGGGGAACAAGAAGAATGGTAGCATTTGAGACCCAGAGCTGCCAGCCATGAATGGCTTGGGCAGTAGCTGACTTAATCAGCAAGAAGATCCCTCCTGCTCCAGATGCTGTTCTCTCTTGCACTATAAGAAATGCAAAATTATTGGGTTGAAGAGTAGCTGAGCTGAGAAAACACCGCAAAATAAGTGTTTCTTCTGTCTGCTGTAGCAAACTGACCTCCAGAAGCAATTCATGAGAAAGACTTCAATGAGGAAAGGGAGGTCAGAACTGTCTATAGGTTTAGACACATCTTTTTCCGAAGCACTTCTGAAGCATTCTGTGTCACTTTCTTTGGAAGAGCTATTTGTCCTGAAGGACCTGACCCTCAGGGTCTGTCTGAAAGGGTCGCTCACAAACAACTTCCCCCGTGACATGCCACGAGTGATGGGTACCTGTACAAACCACGCCAGCATCTTCTCCATGCCCACAGTTGTGTCTTCCCCAGGGAGAGGCTCTGCACTGGGAGAGACCAGCTTCTGTCCCTCTGCAGCTGACATCATCAAGCCAAATGGAGCCAGATCCTTGCCCGAAGGAAGCCCTGTGGGGAGCTGACAAGGCCTTCCCACAGCCCAGCTGCTTGCACACCACTTCTGCCTCGTCCAGGCCCCAGTCATCGTCACACACAGTTCCCCAGCGCTGGCCATAAAGCACCTCGACTCTCCCAGAGCAGTGGGTCAACCCATCCACTAATCGAAGCGGGGCAGGTTCTGCAAAGCCTACAGGGAAAAAAAAAAAGAAAAAGAAAAAAAAATCAGGAGAGTATCTGGTGCAGAGTCTGATGTATCTGTTCTCCACCTGGCAATGAACGTAGCATCTCTCACAGTTTTGCATGGGAAAAAATTGCGTGAAGAGGCAGCACAAGCACTTCCTCCACCATCACAGCATTAGATGTACAGCAACAGATTTTACAAGCTTAAATACACTTGGGATTGAAGAGGGCAAGCCCTGGTCTTGCTGAAATGTGGATGTTCAGTGCTTTTAAGATGCTTTAGCCTCCGTCTGCTGTTGCAAGGGGTTTCAGCCAGACCCTTATAAATGTCCCATGTACCTTAACATGCACCAGAAGGTGCTAGATACATAGGGGTGCCAGGATCACTCTCATACTGTCTCTTCAGCCTCGTGTTAATGCTGTTTTTACCCACAAATCAATGAACAGAAAGTCTATTTCTCAATATATTAAGACCCTACAAATACTGCAAAACTGCTACAGAGGAAAGACACTAATTAACGCCTCATTACTGGAAAGGCAGGTGTAAACCAACTCTTCTTCCAGTGTTGTCCAAGCAATCAGCATATTCATAATAACTGTCCCACGAGCAAAGGCCTAATGGTAAACCTGCTGTGGCATATGCTGCTTCTTGCTTGACCAGACAGCTGGTGAACTGGGAAGGACTGGGTGGCTCTGGGGATCATGAAGGGAGACTTGGCGGTGTAACTTTGGGGCTCCAATTACACGGGAGGACCTGATACTAATAGGATGGGAGGGACAACAGGGTCCATGGGAAGAATGTCACTTAATGCAAGAGACTTTGGGGAACTATGTCTACTGGCATGAGGGTGGGATAGTGGGGATGCCAAAGCCACTGCTCTCTGCATCAAGAAAGGATGCTCTACCAAGGCGTCTACTGGCCATGTGTGTGGGGAGCCCTACAAGTGTCTTTTAACAGTGGCTTATGTGGTGGTGGATTTTAATTAAGGAGAAGAGGCAAGACCACTCCAGACTTTAAGGGACGAGACATTAAGGAACGAGCTATTAAGACTCGAGATGAGACACTAAGGCTCGAGACATTAAGGCTTGGGACATTAAGGAACGAGCTATTAAGGCTCGAGATAGAAATGCTTGGACCTTAAGGGATGAGCCAGTGAGACTCAGGACTTTAAGGGACGAGACATTAAGGAACGAGCTATTAAGACTCGAGATGAGACACTAAGGCTCGAGACATTAAGGCTTGGGACATTAAGGAATGACATATTAAGGCTCGAGATGAGACACTAAGGCTTGAGACATTAAGGCTTGAGACATTAAGGAACGAACTATTAAGGCTTGAGACAGTAAGGCTTGGACCTTAAGGGATGCGCCAGTGAGATCCAGGACTTTAAGGGACAAGACATTAAGGAACGAGCTATTAAGGCTCGAGATGAGAGGATGAATCATATTTTATCTTACACTTCTCTTGGGTGTTGGGGTCAGCGCTGCTCCAAAGGGAACAGGGCCTCCTATAGCACCTCCAGCATCTCTCCACACCCCACAAAACCCACTTGTGTCATGCAGAGTGGGATTTACCTGAGCACACAACACCAGCATCTTCTCCGGGCTTACAGTTATGGCTTCCCCAAGGTTTTGCACTGCATTCGGAGAGGGCAGCTTCAGTTCCGTTGCAGGACACATCATCAAGCCAAAAGAGGGCAGGCCCTCTCCCAAAGTAAGCTGAGGAAGGAGCAGATAGAGCAGTCCCGCAGCCCAGCTGCCGGCATACAACGTCAGCATCAATCATATCCCAGCTGTCATCACAGACAGTTCCCCATTGCTTTCCATAAAGCACCTCCACTCTCCCAGCACAGCGACTTGCACCGTTCACTAATCGCAGCTTAGCTGTTCTTTTAATTTCTGCATTAATAAAAGGAAAAAAAAAACCACAATAACAAAAGCAGAATTAGGGATTGCACATGGAAAGATTGCCTAGAGATCAAAGACAAGGAAAGATCCCCACTAGCACTGCCCAGGACTTGACAAGGTGAAGCCTGATGAGAATCAAGTTCTGTGTCTTCTTCTGTGGTTTCAGAGCTCAGAATTAGAGAGATAAATAGCACAGACTGGGAAACCCTTATGAAACAGGGCTGTGCAATTCCAGTGATGTTACTCCAGGGGTGGTGACTTGCTACAGATTAAGACACCCACATGTCTTATAGACCTGTTAGTGTCTTCATGTGAGATGGATGTTGAGATTCTAGTTAGTCAATGACGTCTGTGGAGCTGCTCAGCTGTCAAAATATTGGCATTTGATTCAAATGCCCAAATAAACATTCAGCAGCGTTTGTGATGCTGTAGGTATTCCCCCTTAGGGTCACCCTTAGGGCCTGTATCTCATCTTCCAGGTTGTGTCAGATGTCCCAGGGCACCTCTAATTGCACTTGGCAACTCTGTGTAGTGAACTGACTCCACCCTAGATTTCCATTGCTGCGCAGGAAGACACCCAGCCCTAGTGGTGACACCTGCAATTTAGACATAAATATGTCTGGGTCTGAATACGGCCCTGAACGCCGTTAGTTCTAGATCCAACTAGCAGGATGTACGTTTGGAAATTTGCTTCGTTGTTCAGTGCTGAGTAGAGCAGTGTTTGGGAGGGCAATGAGCAGCCTGTCAATCTCCCAGTCCTCTTTCCACCACCTGGAGTCCATGACCAGCTTGATTAAGCTTTACTCCTCAGTTAACCATGATGTAGAGGGTAGGGTACACCTTCAGACCTTCCTCACCCGGTTCCTAGAGCTCAGCATTCATTAGCACCATGCTATGACATCCAAGTTAGGAGCAGCTTGCAGATAAGTGACCCACAATTGAATTTGTCATCCCAGTCCCGGACAGTAAATATTTCCACCAGGAGAGAATATTGTCGCAAAATACAAATGGAAAGAGGCCGCATAAATGCTCAACTTCCCTGGCGTATTTCAGCCATGAAATATGTACATGGAGAGCACGTGCATCCAGGTGGGGATCTTTCAGCCTCCTTGCCCATTAACTTCATGGTGATGGCATAAGAGGCAAAAATAATGTGGATCAGGGAAAAAAAAGAACTATGATCTCTGTTCTGCCCTGGTAACAGAACAAGCACAACCACCACCCACATTGTTTAACTGGTAGAACTGGGCTGGAAAACATTGCCCTGGGCATGGTACAGGCCAGTGCCTGAAGCAGCCATCCCCACCCTGATCCCTAAGAGTAGCACTGATGGAGAAAAAAAAAATAATTTGCAAACAGGCTTAAAAACCTCCGTCTACACAGCACAGCCTCCTGGGGTCACACGGGGAAGGGAGTAAACGTGAGTTACCTGAACACACAACGCTTGCATCTTCTCCGTGATTGCAGTTATGCTCTCCCCAGGTTCTGGTCCTGCAGGCAGTAAGGTTGGCTTCTCTACCGTCACACTCCACGTCATCCAGCCAGATATGTCCAGTTCCTTGACCGAAGCGAGCCGAGCCAGGGGCTGACAGTGCTTCCCCACACTCCAACTGCTTGCACACGACCTTGGCATCCGACAGATCCCAGCTATCATCACACACAGTTCCCCACTGCTCTTTCCAGAACACTTCGAGCCGCCCCGCACAGCGGTTTGGGCCGCTCACAAGTCTGACGGGAGCTGAGTAGGCAACACCTGAATCCCAAAACAAGCCAAGGTGGAAAATGGGCGTGAGCCAGGTTTTGGCTGATAGTGAGGAATGCAACATCGTGCAGGAATAATGCCATTTTGGGTCTGTCCAGGGAAGGATTGCTGAAATGCTCACCACTTTTTTTTTCCAGCAGGAACGTTGTAAGAAAAGCTTACTGGCTAATTAGTGCTGTAAATTTCTCACACAGACGGCGGCAGGACCTCTGACACATCTCTACATTTAGGACATTTCTGACCATGGGATTCCTACTAATATGTCCCTCCCAGACATGGGCCAGGTATTCAAAACCTGGGATGAGAACTCATCATTTTCAGCCGTGGAACAGTCCCAACACACCCTCCTACATGGTGTGTGATGGCTCCACACCACAGAAACCCTATGCTGTGCCCTCCACACAATCAGGAAGATGAGAGGAAAACCTCAGATTATGATCTTTAGGAAGATGGAGGTCCCAGAGTAAATGCCTCCACACAACCTGAGCTGCTGTAGCACCATGGGTCTCGGGTCATCCCTCCCCACCGTCATTGTGCAGCTCCCTGCGCAAGACCATGAATGTTCCTCCTGAGGTCTGCCACTCTCCTTGTGTTGTGCAAGTTATTGAAGGAAGATTTCAGGTCACTTCTGTGAGTACAAATCAGGATACTCATATCCTTGACCAGAACGCTTGTCAGAACTTGGCTAGCCAGATCTCGCTCACCTGGTGGCATGTAGAGCACAGTTTGCTCACCTAAATGAAAGACTCTAGTGCCATTTGTAGACCTGCACCCTCCAGAGCAGTAGTTGGAGTCTGGGACTGAGAAACTAGGACAACTGAAATGGCTTAGGCACCTACATTAAGGCAACGGCCTACAGTCCATAGGATAGGATTCACCTCCCAGCTACTGACAAGTTGCAGTGTTGTCCGTGCTAAACAACTGGACTCCCATACAGTGCAGAAAAGAAGGTATTTACAGTCAACATCCATCCATAAGGGAGGAAGATTTGAGGTAGAGGAAGGCCTCTTTCTCTTTGTGGGTGCTACCGTTGGGATCTAAGCCTGGCAGAAGATGCTGAAGATCCCTCCGTATTCAGAAAAGCCCTGTCAGACACTTAAACCGTTTCTACATCTTCAGTCCTGGGTGCTGCTCCCCACAGCCTTTGTACACTTAGATCAGAGGTTTTAGAGCAAGGGTTGCCACTAAGGCTTGCCAGGTCCACTCTTCTATGCTGTTGGAAAGCACAGATATTTTTCTAACAGACTTTAAATTCCCAGGTCATCCTCCTTGACGCTTTGCAGATCTGGCACAGCCTTCACTTCTTCCTAGCCCCTGAAACAGCCTCAACTTGTACCAGGTTTTGTTAAAAACCGACAGCGCTCTTTCGGGATAATCCTTATCCCACTCTTTTACTAATTTTGGTTTAAGTTATTGGACTATGCTGATTTGCAGATCATAAATGCAGCTGCATTAAGCACTGTCTCTGACAGGGAGGTCTGCTGTGCTTATTCACTCTTAGGTCTTGGCTCCAACACAGACTGTGACTCTAGGGTGGAGGAAAAAACCAGGACTACATTCTGGATTACACGAATCAATCAAAGGAAACACTGTCTTTATGCTTGCATTTGTTTGTTCCCAGGGTTTGCCTCTGTATTTTTCCATTGTTAATGCCTCTAAATCTCTAGGTGACCTTCAGAAGCCAAGTGATCATCTCTGCTACTGTCCTCTCTTGTCTCAGAAACATCAAGCCCTTTTCCAGTGCTAGGAGTTAAAACCCAACCTTCCTGGATCTTCAGTCCTCTGTTCCAGCCATGAAACCCATTTCCTTGCCAAGGCTGAGGATACGAGTGGGGTCAGTCCATCACGAGTCCCATTTATCTGGCCGTATCTAGAACCCTGTTCTCCAGGAGCAAAGGAGAAAACTTACCCCAAAGACATGCCAAGAGGAAGAGCACAGTTTCCATCCTGGTTCCAGCAAAGGCAGCCAGGCTCCCACAGCGGGTATCTCTGGGTGGAAGAAGATTTCCTGCTGGTCCCGTGCTAGCAGCAGAGACCTCACACAACCCAGCTCCTGAAGGCCTGGTTGGTACGGTAGAGCAGGAAGATCGTGCTTGTAGGAGAGACAGTCAAGTGGCTGGCTGGGGAGGCAGGAGAGAAGAAAGACAGTGAGGACCAAGACGGGAGGTAGATGACAAATATTCCTTACCCTGACTCCTCCCCCTAACTGGCCTCTCCTCTTCACCTCCAGTGCTGCCCCCCCTCCCTCCTGTTCCTTGCATCTCCCTGTGTGACTTCAGTCCTACATGCTCTTCTGTTGATCAACATATTAAGGGAAAAATAACCCCTGCTAGAGAGTCCTGAATATTTTCTCCTCTCTTGTTGCTTTGGAAAAAAAAAAAGGAAACTGTTTCTGGCACTTCTAAAACTGCCATTCTCCTGGCAGGACTAGCTCAGGAACAGGCAGTGCCCTAGGAGGACTTCTTGGAGAAGGCAGGAATGATCTCTGTCTGCCTGTTACTCTGACTATTAAATGCTGTCTAGGAACTGGGAGCATGCAGAAAACAAGAAAGGGTTTACTGTGAGGGTGGTCAAACACAGGAACAGGCTGCCCACAGAGGTTGTAGAGTCTTCATCCTTGGAAATATCCAAAACCTGACTTGATGTTGTCCTTGACAACCTGCTCTAGCTGACCCTCTGTTTGAGCAGGGGGCTGGACTAGATGAGGAAGAAGAGGTCCCTTCCCACCTCAGCGAGCCTGTGGATTAACTCCTGCCTGAACTGGGGGACAGTAAAACACAGTCTCCGTGTAGTGGTGGTGGGGAAGGGTCTGTTAGGAACTGGATGGGGCCACATCCATGAAGTCACTGTAAAACCACTTGCAATAATGAGAACTCCAGGATCAAAGAGTGCAATGTGAGACATTGACCCATGACAGGGATACAGTATGCGCAAGTAAGAGGTTGAAGTACAGAGCAGAAGACAAACATGGCCTTTGGAGAGATATGGCTTGCAAGGAGTTTTCTTAACATCATCTCGGATAAATAACACTGGCAAACCTACATTTCTGGTATTTAATACTGGTGATGAAAATAATGTTTGTTTTCAGAAAAACTTTAAGTTAGCCTGAAGTTCACTTGTTTACAGGACTAACTCTTCCCTTAGAGAAGTGTTTTTCACTGGTATGCTCCTGGGGAAAAGCAGACTTTCTGAGACCTACAGGGCCAAACTCACAGTCACCAGTTCAGATTCAGCCTGATGAAGGTGAATTCGATGACATGGGACCAGTTGTTTTCATGGACACAGATTACGGATGAATTTTTGGACATCTGTGATGGTATGATTGGCCTTGACTCTGGAAGATGTCCAAGATGAACACTTGGAGGCATGAGGAACAATATAAGGTGCAGGGCCTGTCTGATTGCCTCGTTATCTACCCTGCCCCTGTCGAGAAGTTTTTGGCTCTATCATCTTTAGTGGTGACCTTCAAGTGATCCTAAGCTGCTATCTCATCATCCTTTGCTTCATCTTCTTCAGGAAAAACAAACCAAACTCTTTGGGCTTCTCCTTGTTGATCATGTGCTCTAGGTCCCTGGCCATGTTGGTAGCTCTTACCTGTCATGGAGGCACCCCCACAGCAGCCAAGAGCAGTCACTCAGAACACCCCTACAGACCTGAGCAAACCGCAAACCCAGGGGCCAGGCAGAGGCACTCAAGAACAGACAGACTCAAAATTGGGATTTATTCTGACCAAAGTTAGCTAATGCTCCGACAGACCAAAGTAGTCCAGATGTCAGTTGGGAATATACCACCACACAGCCTGACTTAAGAATTCCTAAGTTTTTTTAAACAGGCCTCTGAGAAAAATGATCCAAAATCTGCATGCATTCATCCCCTAAAAGGGAGGAAATCTCTCTTTTAAGGCTTCCCAGAAACTGGAATCACTCACCCAAAGGGGTGAGGGCTCACTCAAGGCTATATCCAGCAGTATTCACTCACCAAAGGTGTGGGGAGGGTGAGGGCGCTCAGTCCCGGGAAGTTTCCTCAGGCAGCGTCCTGACCCCAAGGGAGAGTCCCCGACTGCAGCCCTGCTGCTCCAAGGAGGACCAGCTCCAATTGGCTATCTGGAGGGGCTCCATTTATACCCAAGTCGAGTCTGACCTGTGGTCAGTTCTAATGCAGGGAAAACGAAAGGCAAACAAAGGGAACAGGTTTCAACAGCTGGAAACCCCCCATCTTTGTGTGCTTTGTCCAGTCTCCAGAAAGACCTGATCTTTATCGGGTCTTTAGCAAGCCCCGGTTGTTTTCAGGTCAGGGTGGGTGCACCTACCACATTACTTTTGAGCCAAACCGTGGCACAGACCAAGGCTGAATCCAGAAACCCTTTAGGTCATAGCATAGGTATTCAGGTCATCCAGTTTGTTTGGTCTTTCCTATTTTTTTCTCTCTCTGTGCATTATGGGAGTGTGGAAGAGGAGGAAAGAGAAAGGACATTTTGTGTCATATTTGCACAGGAAATGTGTCACAAGGTGAATCTTACTGAATCACGTACCATGAAGAAAATTGAGCAGATGAGCTGGCAACTGAAAGGCTGCAAGAGGGACAGAGATCATAACCCAAGAGGAGAGAGCCCATGAGATATTGGAATATAATGAATAAATTTTATCTGCTGTGGACAAAATACCAGCAACACCTTCCATGTCTCTGAAGGGAGCCACTGATGCCCAGATCTTTGTCAGAGGTGCCAGTGAGTCTCCCTGCTCTGCCTTAGTAGTTCACATTTTCAATCAAGATATGTCTTTCTAGAGTAGCGATTGTTCCTTCAGCTTGCGTTCTGAGCCTGGTATTTACTATTTGCTTCAACTTCAACAGGCTTTGTAGTTCCTCGTTTACCCTTCAGCCCTATTCCTATTGAGCTTTAATATAACTCTGTAAGTCTTCTTTGTCCCTGGTTACTGGAAACAACAGGTCTTTGGCCAGGCACTGGTGCATCTCTGCGTTCCTCTACTCCTTTATCTCGCTCTGCTTTTGGAAGCATCCAGCCTTGGCGTATTTCCCCTCACTGTATTTGAAGGAGGGGAGTCTGCTGCATTGCTCTTTCCTAAAGTCTTCTAAAGAGCATGTAACACAATTTGTTCATGCAAAGCCGTGCTGCAGCATTGATGTAAATCTGCAACATTGACAGGATGGGAAGGAAAGGAATATGGTGCTAGGCATAGCATGAGCCATATGTGGCTTGAATGCAAGTGTTTGAACAGGGCACACAGACATTTGGAGCACAGCATGTGAGCGAAGGCATTTGACTATAGTATATAAGAACAGAGCTGTTCTCTAAAGGAAGAAAAGACAGGAGCTGAGGGCAACCACACCACAGGAAAACCAATGAGCTCACCACAGGGAACGGTCACACATCACCAGAAGAGCAGAGAAAGGTAATGAGAGCAATGGGGCCTACCAACAGTACAATAATTGCCCAGAGAAGCTGTGGATGCCCCCCTCCCTGGAAGTGCTCAAGGCCAGGTTGGATGAGGCTTTGAACACCCTGATCTAGTGGAAGGTGTCCCTGCCCATGGCAGGGGGGTTGGGAACGAGATGATCTTTAAGGTCCCTTCCAACTCAAACCATTCTGTGATTCTGTGATTCTACGATAATCATCAGGTGAAGACGAGGTAACGAGCCAGCACCAAGGTCAATCCGGGAAATGCAAGAACAACACAGGAACAGGCACACCCACATCAGAGCTCAGGTAAGGATTGAATTTCCAACCCTGAGTTTACCCTGAGCTTAAATGGAGCCCCTGGGCGTAAGTGTAGGCTCCAGGCTTGGGCAATTAAGACCTATGAATGCATTCAGCATCCTGACAATAAAAGAGAGGAAAAAATTAGTCCTAATTTTGGTGGGTTTAGAGACAGTTAAATCTTACAGTTTTATATCTCTTCCTTTATGTCTTAGCTCCTGCCCTAGTGGTCATTGGACAGAATGTGTTGGCCATGAGCAGGTGTGCAATAAAGGTGGCCTCATCTTCACAGCTAAGAGGGTTAGTAGGCTTCCTTTTCATCAGGTTGCCTTCTGGCTGGGACATTGCTCTAGATTTCAGCACGGATGGGTCAACCCCACTGGCAAGGAGGGAAGGCATTGCCACCTGGCCTAGGACAACTTTCCTTCTCTGGACCGTGTCTTGCCGAGCCTGGAGCCGTGCCCTGGTGTCTCTGGCTGCCTCTGTCAGGAGGTAAGGCCGTCACTGATTACAAACAGGACTTTGGCAGCTGCACCACTGCAAGCAGCTGGGCTTCCCTGCGGGCTCTGTGGGGCTCAGGGGCACACCAAACCACAGAGCCATCTCTTGGCCAAGGTCCACAAAGGTCCTTCCCTTTCTTTCGTTCCCCAAAGCCTCTCTGTGGGGATAATCATCTAGATCTTGGAGAAGTCTGATTATCTCAGATGCTTTTGGCTGTGGTCCCTAGGGAGACCCCATCCTGCGCTACACCTCTTTCAGCACAAGGACAAGGCTGTGCTTCTAAATCCCGACGCGTCTTCCATAACTGGCCTTGCTTCATTGAAACCCATCACCTGGTTTAGGCTCTACCAGGCTGGATCAAGAGAGGTGGGATGGCAACGCTGTCTTGGCTGCATGCCCTTTCCTAAACTCTAGTACAGCGCCCCTGGCCCTAGAGCTGAGTGTGTGTGTCTGTCCTGGACATGTCCTGTGCATTGGAAGAGTTCCCATTCACAGAATCATAGAATCATTAGGTTGGAAGAGACCTCTATGATCATCAAGTCCAACCATCTACCTAATACCACCATGCCCACTACGCCATGTCTAGAAGTGCAACATCAACATGTTTTCTGAACACCTCCACGGATGGTGACTCCACCACCTCCCTGGGCAGCCTGTTCCAACATTTGACCACTCTTTTGGTAAAGAATTTTTTCCTAATGTCCAATCTAAACCTCCCCTGGTGTGAAGTTCTTGGCTTGGAATGTGGAGAGGATATCCTAGGAGCACTAGTAGTCGTACCAGTGGGTATTTGTGTTTTGCAGGATCAAGTCAGGGGTTTTTGTAGCTTTCTGACTGCAGGAGGCTTTTCTAATCTTTTTTTTTTTTTACAGTATTCTTCATCGTCAAGGGAGAGAACATCTCTTTTTTTTTGTTTTTATAAAAAATAAAGACATGTAGACACTTGACCTTAGGGGGACACCACACCATTGATTTTTATTGTCTGAGCTGCCCTATCTACTATTTTGTTTTCTTTCATGGAACCTGTAAGGAGCTTCTCAGACCGCTGCTGTTCCTACAGGCCCATGATCTCTCCTGCTTGTTCTGGTGGTCTGAGCTCCCTTGCTTCCACCTGGGAGTGCTGCAAGGCTGCCTGAGCTCTCTTCTGCCTCTCCTCTAAACCCCATTAGCTCCTAGATTGTCGCTCCTTGCATGGCTACATGTGGCACAGCTCAGGGTGACTGGAGCATTCAGAAACCCTTGCCTATCCCTTCCCATTTTAGCTGTCTCTCCTGGCTCCTTGAGAATTCCAAACTTTCAGGGCAGGTGTTGCTTTTCCTCAGTTTTTCTGTCTTGGATTGCTGCTTGTGCCTTTTGCTTCCCAACTTTTCAGCCAAACTTGAGGTGGCTGCTCGAGTTTGGCTTAGCCTCTTGCTGAGGCCACCCTGACCTTCTGTTGCAAATCAGCAGAAGTAAGAAAAACTTCTCTACACAAAGTTAGATAAGCAGAGATGTCCTTTATTAACAATGTGCACTGGGGACATGGGATCCTTTCCCAAAGATGTGCGCCTGCATGTTGCAATCAACAAATATTTATACATTAAATTCATGCATATTCAGTCTATACAATGCATATTCATTATCATTCTCTCGATGATTGGTTCTTCTCTTCTTGCTTCTGATGCAAATTAGGGCGCAGCCTCTGTCCTAGTCTTCTGTTGTTCCCTTTTGAGTAGGGGATATAATTTGGGTAAGTGGTCCATGAGTCAGAGGTCTCGACCACTCCTCGAATTGACCATGTTTAGTCAAGGAACATGTCCTTGGCTCGTAGGCTCTTGGCTCGTACCTACTTTGGTCATGATTCAAAGTTTATACACAATGAGTCCCATAATAAGTCCTATCTAGCAGACATCTTGGACCATAACACGTTATCCTTGTTTCCGACCATTAATAGATTATTGGTTAATGAACACCTTAGGTCTGGGACTTTACAGGGGTATGCTAGCAGCATTGGCAGTACAGATTTTATTTTATGTTTGATCATTTATTTCATTTGAGACTTATCTTCCCAAAATAATCATGACTCTCTATTTTACTAATATCCACTAATTAGAATTCTTGATATTCAAATCAAGATGGGAAGAGGAAGGGGATTTCCAAGCAGTATCCTAAAATCCTAAATCTGGCAATTTCTGCAACACTTTCACTGAAATACTTTTGGTATGTATATATTCAGCCTCTTTGTGGCTTTTGCTGATTTAATGCATGGCTTTATGGTCACAGCCTGACAGGGACGTTTGTCAGTGGGACGCTACAACAGGCAGGGCTCAGCCTACCGGCTCTCGCTGGCTCAGCCCAAGTGCGAGGGCTCCGCAAGAAGCTC